TCCATGCATGGCGGAGACCCCCCCGCACTGGGATTTAGTCCCTATGTCCCCTCCAAGCCTCCCTCTGCCCCAGGCTGTGCCCCTCCATGCATGGGGGAGACCCCCCTGCCCCGGGATTTAGTCCCTATGTCCCCTCCGAGCCTCCCTCTGCCCCAGGCTGTGCCCCTCCATGCATGGGGGAGACCTCTCTGCTTTAGACTTCAGTCCTTGTGCCCCCCCGAGCATGGGAGAGCCCCCCTTTGCTCTGGGATTTAGTACCTATGCCCCTCCGAGCCTGGGAGAGCCTCCCTGAGACTCCAGGCTTCAGTGCCCATGCCCCTCTGAGCATGGCAGGACCCCCCTCAAACTCTGGGCTTCAGTCGCTGTGCCCCTGCGAGCATGGGAGAGCCCCCCTCTGCTATGGGCTGCAGAGCCTGTGCCCCTCCTCTGCTCCGGGCTTTGGTGCTTGTGCCCTTCTGAGCGTGGCAGAGCCTCCCTCAGACTCCAGACTTCAGTGCCTGTGTCCCCCCGAGTGTGGTAGGACCCCACTTAAACTCCAGGCTTCAGTGCTTGAAGCTTGCCACAGACACAGCCCAGAAGACTGAAGGAGGAAACAGGCTCACGTTGAACCTTTCAAACGCTTGTTAACCAGCAGCTGCACCCGTCCCAGACAGCCCTCCCCTGTTCTTCACCACTAGCATCCGGAGTTAACCATGGCGCCGGCCCTGCCGCCGGGTGCCTTGGCATTGGTGCGTCACTCTCCTGCAGTGCTCAGCTGAATTTGTTCCTCCTGTACGTGCCCATCACCCTGGCACGACGGGGCTGTGCATGTAAAGACAGGCTCAAAGGCCAGAAGGGACAGGGCGACGTGCAGGACGAAGACTCTCTTGGGTTTTTCTGGCTGACGTGAAGTGTCTCTGTCTCGTGCTTTCCCTGCAGTGTGCGGTCACGTGGAAACCCGAGCCCACGCTGAGGAAAGGCTCCTGAAGAAACTCTTCTCGGGCTATAACAAGTGGTCCCGCCCCGTAGCCAACATTTCGGACGTGGTGCTGGTCCGCTTTGGCTTGTCCATCGCGCAGCTCATCGATGTTGTAAGTGAAAAGGACTGGAGCAAGGAGCACTGGAGGCTTTTCAGGCCAGGCCTAATTCCCTACCCAAATCCCTGCATGCGGAGATGCTCTTGAATGATCCCGGGTCAGATTGTGAGCGCCTTATTCACCTGGGAGAAGAGTTATCACAGGAATAGTCCTGTAGAAATGAATGGGACAACTTCCGTGAGTAGTTGCTCAAAGTGTTCGCAGCCTGCTCTTTTATTAGTTAGTTGTGTTAGTCCAAACGCTGAAGTCCATAGTGAAATGAGAAAAAGAAACCCAAGCGTGACTGTAGTAGATGTGGTTAGTTTGTACGGTGCAAATCTAGCCAGGCTCCTGCCTGAGACGGACAGACCAATTCATCATCCCTCTGTTAAGTTCAAGAAGAATTTGGGCTGAGCAAGAAACAAGGCAGGAGCTTAGCATAGAAACTGTAATTATGAATTATGCATTATTATCCTAACTGGTTGTTACACATGTAACTTATCTTGTCCGTTTGTCACTTTGGGTGATTGGAGGCACGGTGCCTGAGAGCAAATGTTCCCACATGTTTGCTCCAAGAGAAGCTCCCTGTAGGCAGAATTAGATATGGCCTCCGCAAAGCAGATGATGGGATGTTAGGATGCACTGAACGGGTATCAAAAGCACCTCGTTTTGTAGCATTTTGAGCTCAGTTTGCAAAGAAAATGTGCGTGCCTGCTTGCTCACACACAGCAGGGGACAAATGCACATGAGCTTTTAAATGTGCAAAACGGGTCGGCATGATTGTGTGTACAGGTGCCCATTCACGCACACAAGTGCGGTTTCTGTGGGTGCAGAGTTGGTGTGCTTATTTTGAATAAGTGGCATGCTGTATTATTGGAAGCTGCCTGAATTATTTCCTTTGTATATGCACTGCTCCTCTACAAACTGCTTGTGCGTGAGACAGAGAAAAGAAAGGTAATCTATGCAGCTGGAGTGTAGTACAAAGACTTATTGGCACACGTTTGTGCTTACACACAAATGGTACAGCCAGAAGTGAGTTAAGCAGGTCATTCCAGATGGGTGCTTATTAACCTTGCAAACCACGCCGCGCTGTCATGCATTTTGCATATACCCTCTACGTAACAGAAAACCCATTTTAAAAAATGGATTAAAGGAAAAGAACTATGGAGGCTAATTTTCATACCCGTCCCTCTGAGAAGCCAAGATTTTCCAGGGCCATGTGGGACCCAGAAATATTAGAGCTAAGCCAGTTTACAAACCTCTGAAAGAGCTGTAGTGGCTTTTTCATACAACATATTACTGAGGCTGAGCCAGAAGGGTACGTGTGAACTCTCTTGGGAAGATGACAAGTGCTCTTTCCTAGTGGTGTGAAGCTCTGATTTCTAGCCTGGATGAGCCATGAGATTTAACTCAGACCTTCAACTCATCACCATTGCTCGAATATTGTCCACCTTGGGGTTTATAGTGTGATGTTGTGGGATGCTTTCTGAGTCTGGAGGGAAAGAAGAAAACAGGATGGTTGGTTCTAAAATGGTGGGGATTTGGAGCTGGGGTGACTCGAAAGCTACTCAAAAAGAAGTGAATTGTTGGTCAGGGCACAGGGGATGACGATGGCAGATTACTGATGCATGCATTTTGCCATACGGTACTACTATATCTTACCCATCCGTAATCACGTTGTGTGTGGCATAAATACATCTGCACAGTGAACCAGTGTTTGCAAAAGGCAGTGCCTAGGTGTCTGGGGGGTTGTGCCCATCTCTGCCCAAAACCTTTAGCTCAACTTTGCAAGCTCAAATTTGTCTTCCGTTCTGTGCCTTTCCCTTGCATCAGACCAAGAAACACAAATCTGCCTGCAAGCTGCTCGTGTTTAGGCTGTATGCATTTCACGTGAATAATTGATAAGACTGAAGATGGTACATTACTGATTGCGATGGCACAAGATAGACTTTCCATTATGCACCAGCCAAATCATAGAAAGGCAAGATCAATACTTGTGCTTTGAAATGATTTTCCTCTCCTACCTAAGGAGAATCTGCCTTGTGCCAAATGTTTTGGTGCTTAAAAGTCTAACCAGCAGGCAGTTCTGCCAGGCACCTGATGAATACATTTAGGAATTTATGTGTCTCATTTCCTTCCAGAAGATTTTCTCAGTTACTGAGTGACCCTTTCCCTAATACTATTCCTGTATCACGGCCCCAGCCAAGCCTCGGTATAATGCTCCCTTGCATACAGCAGCACTGATTCTTTATGATACGTAGCCTGGCTGCTAGGCATGCTGATAGAAGTACTTTGTGCCATTTGCAGTAGAGTTTGTGTCTCCTACAGATACATCCCAATGTCAGGTGATTAAAAAAAAGAAAAAGAAAAAAAAAAAACTAGATGCAGGACTCAATTTCTGACTCAGGCTGGCAAAAGCCAGAGAAATCAATGTTAAATCCACTGTCCCTCTGTATTTCTATTTCACGCTGTTGTGCTTAGGTCAATTTGCTTCAAGATTATAATGATAAAGTATCAAAGGCATAGATGTGTTCAAGAGGAGACTGGGATGAAACACATCAGCCTCTTTGGTACAGTGCACCTTGAGAAAAATCAACTGTGCAGTTAAATCCCACCCTCCACTGTATAGATTGCATTTTCTCGCATATAATACATTTCAGATTCGAACATGTGCCTTGTTTTTTGAAAGGCTAGGTGAAGAAAAAAAACCCAAGAGATGTCCTTGTGGCAAATAACAGAGTAGCATCAGCTAGGAAGTCAAGTTTGCTCATGGCTCTGCTCTTTTGGATCACTGCAGATTTCTACTTTTGGTTTTAACAGAGCCCACTCTTACCATATTCCTCACATATAATGCACACTTACATTTCTAGCATCTGTTTTTCTGGGGGGAAAGGTGTATGTTGCACGTGCTAAAATGTGAGACTAACATGATCCTTCTGAGTCAAACTGTATGCATGCTATGAGGGTGTGGTCTAGCAGAGGAGAATGAGCCAGGGACTAGTTCGACACAGTTTGGTACTCTTTTGAATAGCAGCGAAACCCATGAGACCAGAATCACTTCTTGTATATCAGCTTAATTGGAGGAAGTGCATTACAGGGATGGATGAGATCCAGAGCAGCAAAGCAGCAGCTGTCAAGAGGGTCAGGGTATAACGGTAAGGAGAGCACATCTTTTAGCCTTGCATCTCCAGGCTTGTGTTTGATATTCCACCACCCAGCCTCTTTCCATAGGAAGGATCATCAGTGGACCTGCTCCTGTGCTGGGGCAAACAGTGGAGCTTGCAAGCAGGAAAAGCCCTGATGGTTTTCACTTTTCTTCTCCATCTCAGTTTGCTTTTGCAGTATAGGGGAACAGGCAGGCGCCTGTGAACTGGAAAAGACCCTAACTCACCCAGAGTTCCTGCATGCAATAGTGGCAGCTCATCCTTGACTCTAAATCCCTGCCTTTATGATTCAGGCATTTCAGAGCAGCTCTCCGATCAGTATTAGAGGTTTAGCATTGCAGCTGCAATGACTAGGCACAGCAAGGCTGAGTTAAAGATGAGGCATGGCCTAAGCTGCAATTTTCTGGCTTTTAAGGATCAGCCTAAAGTGTGAACTGGAAGGGGTATGCAGTTAATCACGGTGAGCCCTCAGCTCTTAGAGGGTACTGACACCTGAGGATGGTTTGAAGCCAGGCCAAGGAGGAGGAGAGGATAAAAAGCTCGTGGTTCTGCCATGGAAATTCAAACTGGCAAGAGCTGAACGGTATCCAGAGTGTTTTTCCTTGATTATTGACCAGCAGCTGTAATTACTGTACAAGGATTAAACAATTCAGTGTAGTTTAGTGAATAATTCCTCAGATATTTGCAGGGCTTAGATGTCTGCCTTTATTTACATGCTTCTGGATTTTGCACCTCAGCAGTCCCTTCACATTCAGAGCTGGAAAAAGAGCATGATCACTCGAGCTCCTGAGGAGGTTGTGGGTTTGCAGAGTCACTCCCAGCTCTTTGGCCAATTGAAGTGAATCGCTGCTCTTTCAGGTTATCGTATTGCACAGCACGAGGCACACTGCTGGCACTCGCTTTTCCCCAGACTGCACCTACAAAAACAGGGACACAGATTTTCATCAAGATGGGACAAAATCTCCAGGCAATTGCTTGTGCAGAGTGTGCACCCCTTGGAGGGGCATATCCCACAGGAGGGACATGCAGTGAACCCAAGCAGCTGCCCCATCTGACCCCCCCTATATCCTGACCTCTTAGCTGCCGCTGAGCACTAGCCATTGCGTCCCCCCTATTTTACCCGTGGCAGGTTACGATGTCTTGTGGTTGTGTCAGGGTTGACTGTGAGATTTTGCTAAAAGATTAGACAGTGGGTTTGGAGAGGATGGTTTGGATAAGGATATCCTGCCTCAGGCAGGGGGTTGGACTAGATGACCTCCGGAGGTCCCTTCTATCCCAACTTCTTTATGACTCTATGAATTCACCCGAAGTCCTGCAGACAAAAGACTAAATAGCTCTGAATATACCCATATCCCCTTCTGTCTGCAAGCACGTGTACAGACGTGGTAAATGCATGCAGCAGCAGCCAAGAATGCCTCTAAGTAGCTGTTTGCCTAGATGCTCACTCTCTGAAGGGGAAACGTTTTGAAACTTGTCTCTGGTAAAGACTTCATGTGCAGTTTTGCTAAGAGGTGAGACAATGCATTTGTATAGGACGGTTTGGATAGGGATGATCCTGCCTCGGGCAGGGGGTTGGGCTAGATGGCCTCCGAAGGTCCCTTCCAGCCCTACTTTTCTATGATTCAAGGGCACAGATAACTTCCAGTGGGATTAAGTGCCTAAATCTCCTAGGCATTTTTAAATATCTTGCCCTACTTCCAGAGACTAGTTTCTTTACAATGGTATTCAGTTCTCATTTACCCCTTTGGGATGGTTTTTCCCACAGTATCTTTTATCCCGGTATCAAGTACCAATCAGCGAAGGTGCCGGCATGCCCAAGTAGATGCACAAACACGTGCCTTCTTGTTCGTGTCGTTCTGAACTTTAATTTGCTCTGGGAGGGAAAAAGAGAATGCAAGACATGTGTTGGAGAAAATATTTAAACGACGTTGTGCTCTGGGAATAGTCTTGGAGGGAGCAAACATGTCAGGAAATAGATGGCTGACAAGCCTTCATTTGTAGATGACCAGTTCAAACACAGTTTGAGTTGGTTATGGTCAAGAAGTTGGTCTCTACACGACGGCTTTTCAATGACCTCTGTTAGAGTGATTGGATCTCCACTTGCTAACACTGTTTCAGTAATGGGCCCAAACTATTAGTGCCTTTGTTAGCAGCTCCCTTAGAGGTGTGACCAGGTCCAGAGACTGGGCCACCCCCTTGTCTATAGAGGCAATCCTTAGGAAGAGCTGGCTGGTCGAGAAAGAGAAGATTTCACTGGGTTTGCCTGTCTTATGGATAGACCCTGACCCATCCGGAGCTGCAGGTTTGTCCTTTACCAAAGCAATACTTATTTTGAAAATCAAGAGCAAGAGAAAAATGGGTCTTGGGAAAATGAATATTGTTTTTCAAAGAAGATCATCGTAAATTAAATTACAATGAGTGTGTGAGCAATCGCCGCAGCAAACAGGCATTCCTTTCCCAAAGGAAGGCAAGCTTGCAGGCTTGGGAGTGTAAAAATAACTCTTAGAAATGCTTCACGCTTTCAAGTCAGAGTGTCAGGATGTGAATACTGATAAAACCAACGGCCAGCTTTCACTACCAGCCTAGCCGCATGCTGTCGTCTGGGACCGGCTGCAGGAATTCCCTTGTGAACTGTGCAGGTACGTGTGGAAACGCGGTGCAGTCAGGAGGAATGAAGAAGGGCTTGGAAATGTAGCAGGGTTGAGCTCTTTGCCTAGTATTACTGTTTCTCTTCCTGTCTCAGCATCTCCAGTCTTCGAAAGGGGAATAATAATGGTTATTCCCCTAAATCGCAGGGCAGCTGTGAAAACTCCCCATCATTAATGTCTGTGCCATGCTCTGGACACGCTGCATATTGGTATTATTGGGAGGTGATGGTACCTTGTTTTCTCAGAGTTACGTTGCCAAACTTCATTAAAGCAGGAATCCCAAACCTGTCCCTAAGGCCGACAAGGTTCTTTGGGTCAATCTGATATCTTTGATTAGACCAACTCAAAGAGTTGGAAAAAATTCTTCTTTGCAAGCTTTCGGGTAGAAATACCCTTCGTCAGGCTGAGGAAGCATCTGTAGTTCAGCCTGATGAAGGGTATTTCCACCCAAATGCTTGCAAAGAAGAATTTTTCCAACTCTTTGAGTTGGTCTAATAAAAGATATCAGATTTACCCAAAGAGCCTTGTCTGCCTATGTCCTTAGCCCAACACGGCTGTAACCTATACTTCTGAAACCAGTGCCTAATGCACTTGAGGGAACAAGTTCATCCCCAGCCCCACTTCTGCACCCAGGTTGCTACTGTGCTATGGAGGGAGGTCTTAAAAGGACGGCTGGGAGGTGGCCAGGGAGACAACTTCTAAGGAGGTGTCAATGCCCCAGTGCTCAGGGAGTGATATATTACAGGGGGGGGGGGGGATATATTAATCCAGCAATCCTGCCTCTACCATAATAGTATGGGTAAAGTGGAGCTGTGAGCCCTTTGCTGCACTTCCCCATAACGCCATGCTCAATGCATAAATATCTAGGAAAATCCATATAAATCCAAGTTGGTCTGATCCCAAGACTGATTAGTCCTTGCCTCAGCTGTTGGCTGATAATCAGCCAAATGCATTCGGTCCCATGCTAAACCCCAGAAACATCTGCTTTTCTTTCTTTTCTTTTTTTTTTTTTTTTAAGCTGGCGCTTCCACATACATTTAGGGCTGAGATTATTTACGGCTACAGAAATAAACTCCAGTAACAAAATGTGGGCATGGCATGAGCTGATTGGGCCACGTGTTCTCTTCCGCGAACAAAGATGTTGCTTTTGCTTTTCAGGATGAGAAGAATCAAATGATGACCACGAACGTGTGGGTGAAACAGGTGCGTGTCCCCGAAGCGCAGTCTCTCAGGTTTGTTCCCCGTATCAGTTGCCGGCCTAACTGTGGGAGTTGATTTGTCTTTGCTAGGAGTGGCACGACTACAAGCTGCGCTGGGATCCCCTGGAATATGAAAACGTGACATCAATCCGGATCCCCTCTGAGCTCATCTGGAGGCCGGACATTGTCCTGTACAACAAGTGAGTCTCTGCTTGGTTATCAGAAGGCCACGTTAACCCTCAAAATCCTGCATGTTGCTTAGATGGGTCTAAATTGTTATTCCCCCCTCATAACTGTGTGCACCTTCCAGTTGTGCAATGAAGAATGTGGCCAACATCTGTCGCATACCGTTCTCATTCTCCTGGGGTGACAACTGTGCATGCAATGCAGCGTTTGGTTGTGTTGGGGGTTTTGCTTCCATTTTTGAACGTACATCCCAGTGACACAAAGCTGCCAGACTTGAGCTTCCAGCTCCATTGATAGTCTTTCACCATCAGCTATAACACCTGACTTCTGGGAATGGTGCTATAACAAAACTTAATGGCAAGTACTCTGAAAAGGACTCCTTGCATTAGCTGGTTCCTGCTGCTGCAGAGTTGTGGTCTGAATTCCCCTCGGCAGCCTTTTCCTCCTAGACATTACGACCTCCAGCTTCAAACCAAAGTGGTTTTCTGGACTAGTGTTAGAAGGAAGGGAAGGCTCCTATTGAAAAGGGATTCACAACCTGCTACATAGTGTTGAGGGGTCATTTTTCAAGTGATGGGATCAGTCCCATTAATTTAATTATATCTGTTAACAAAAGGTCATTGCAGGATCCAAGTGTTTGAAATGTGGCTCTCAAAGGGGCACATAACAATGGGGTTGGTTGTTGCTTTTCTGCATTTTAGAGGCTGTTATCTTTTGTCCAGTTGGGGCCACAGTCTGTTTTCTGTTAACCCTTGGCAACTTCACAAGCTGGGGTGTCAGACTTTCCAATGCCACAGCCCAAAGTCCGTGTCAGGATATTTTAGTGAGATGAGATAGGAGCAGGTTTAAAGAGAAAGTTATCTGGGTGTTGGGAATATCAGAGAATACATTTCCTGTACTGAAAGGGATCAAACAGCGCTGGCCAAGTCAACAAATCCATCTGCAAATATTTTGGGGAAGAAAAACAGCAAGCAAGCTTTGCTGTTCATCAGGGCATGCCGTTATTCATTGCTGCTGCACGTTCAACTGGCTGCCTGCTGCTGATGAAAACCTTTGTGCATCTGAAAAGTTTCAGTGTTTAACACAAATGATTCTTTTGTCTACAAATGCCAACCGGAAACTATCGCTGGGTATTTGCTATTCAGCCTTCTCCTCTTTACAAGGGTTCAGTCACTCTTTTGGGAGGTGGGTAATAATACTGTGCTTTTTGTGGACGAGCAGTCAAAGAGCAGAGACTACTCAGAGCTCTTAGAAATTCAAATGTGCCATAATTTATCCCTGGTGCTTCTGGGGAAAGAGGGAGCAGGAACGAAGGGGGTTCTCAGCAGCTTTTCTGCTCCTGCTATGATGGATTCAGCCAGGAACAAAACTAGCCCCAGCGTAACATAGACTGGAGTAAAGGCTGCTCTAAGTTGCACCAGCTGGCCCCCTGCCCTCAATTCTTCCCACCCACATCGTGCGACGGGTATGCAGCTGGTAGAAAGAAGTAGGGGTGCACAATGAAAGAAGTAGCACACAATGCTCCACCCAGCTCTTTGCTGATAGATCAGGCTACATAGGAGAATAGTGAAATTAGAGGCACAGATCTGTTCTTGTGGAGCTGGTTTAACACGGGGCTGCTTCTCCCTGGGTTCCTATCTTTCACCATAAAAAAAACCCCCTCGCCCTTGGGTGAGATCTTAAAGGTTCAGGGCAATGTCTGCACTCTCTCACCTATAGTGCTATCCATGTGCTTAGCAAAGAGAAGCACAGGCAGAAGGGCCCTTGCCAGCCAACACTGTCCATTGAAAGCCTATACCCCGTGGCAGTGCCAGCCTGAACCTCTCCTCTGTAAAGCCAGCTGCACGGGCCCACTTTGAGTTGTTTTTTTCAATTAATGTCTAAAGTAAAAATATAGTCAGGGGATTAGATCCCTTTAAATCAATGGCATTTGCATTTCCTCGTCTCTAGGGACCCGAGCCATAAATGGTGCTGAGCAATTGCAGCTCTTACTGAAACCGCTGGGAGGATTGCGTGCTCAGCACCTCTGATGATTACAGTGGTCATTATTAATTCATGAGCGCTCAGACCTCCTCCTCCTCAATGCAGACCCAATCACAGCACTAATATCATGTGATTAGGGCCTTAAATTGAAACCAAGGAACACTGCTCCTAGTCCCCTGCACCCTTCACAAGGGGGAACGAGTCCTTATTGCTACACAAAAAAATATGTCATTCCCTACATCCAGGATCTCAATTCAGGAGCCCCAGACACCCACCTGAATAGCAGTGAACTCTGAGAAGGTTATTAATACAACAAGGATGAATGAGCTTGGAACTTATTTACCTTTTCCCATCTGATAGCATTGCCATCACCATCATCTCTATTTAGGAATGCATTGGAGCCCCCATCATCTAAATACAGAACAAAGAGGTGGTCTTTGCCCCAAGGAGATTACAAACAACGTAGAAGGTCCCAGGAGTGTTGCTAACCATTTTACATGGGCATAAAGGTCTGTCACATCCACGGCCCTGGATCTGTGGATTCAGGGGTTCACTTGAAATGCAACCATCACTGGTTGGTTTTGGTGGGATGCGCTGGTTGGTTTTTGGTGGGATGCGTGTGATAAAGGACACAGCAGAGAGATAGGAGAGTAGACGGTAAGAGTGGGATGGTACTGGTCAGCACGAAAAGCAGTAATCCCAGCTGCAAAGATTTCCTCCTATGCTAGGGTTTGGGTTTTTTGGGTGGGGGGAGGCATTGCTAATCCAAGAGGCCTTTAAAGCAGGTGTAAGTAATTAATGGCCACTCGCAAGCTGCTATATATTGCCAGAATAGGGGGGCTCTAGTGGCACTGAACATCTGGCCCGCTGGACTTAGTCCAGTGTTTATCCATTTTAAGGCCAAGTATTTCAGGAGGATTTCCTGTGCGGACAAGGAGACTCCTGGTGTTTTTACTGAGGATGCAATGTTTTGGGAGAAAGTTTCTGGATAGAAGACTACAGAGAAGCCTTTCTTGTTTTCACCTTTGGGACTATACAGAAATTATGGACCTGAAATGGAATCGAGAGATTTTCATCTTCAAGGAAATCGTACCCCTTGTTGTTAGTTATTCTCTTATCTAAGCTCATTATTGCCAAATGCTTCCACTTATTCACTCTAGAGGCCCAAATTAAATCAGTAAATTTGGCCAGTGTGGCCTAGAGAGTATATGTGCTTGTCAACATTCATAAGGAATTTAAAACCAAATTAATATCCTAGGGGGAAATTAACATGCTGTTGGGTTTTGCAGCCTTGATGAGATAAACTCCAAGCCTGAAAATAGTTTCTAGTCAACGTGACAAAACACATGTAAAATAAAGGAAGGCGATTTAATAGGGAAATGGCAAAACAGCCCTCTCTTCCCTCCCTGTGTCAAGAAAACCAGATGCTCCATAATGGGATTTGTAACATTCAGGCAGGTAGTTTTATCCTAGGCTCGCTCATGGTGGCTGACCCATTTGTAGTGAACAGTACTTGGAGCAGGTTTGCCCGCACTTTCCATTCATACGCTGTCATTGTGCACTGTGCAGTTTTCCAGAACTGATTTGCTTTCAAAATTATTCATATAGTAGTTCAGAGGGGAAATCAAGAGTTCTGGTTAACCCTTTCCTTGTCACCCTTTCGACTTGGGCATGAGGCATGCACCATGCTATCGCCTGCGTCAGTGCATGGAGATTTCTGCAACAGGAGTGTAGCTGCTAGCTAGCTATTTGACATGGATATGACGGTCTGTCAGATCTGTAGCCGGCCATGGCTCTGGGTCTGCAAATTCATCAGTTCACTTGAAAAATTCATGCTTTGCTGGCTGGTTTTGGTTGGATGCCTCTGATGCCACCTGAGTGAGTGTAAGGCTTAAGAAGTGGAGTCTAGTGTGAGTATTTGCAGTTGGGAAATTTTGCTCAAACCAGGACTTCTGCAAAAAAATCCCATTCTGAACACCTCACCTAATAGCTAAGATTACAGCTGTAAAAAACAAACCGCTGCAGGTACATATAAGTGACCATGCTTATGGATCGGTACACATACATCTATACTGCACCTTCTCAGAGTTTAGTGGAAACTGCATTCCTCACCTAACTCATTAATTTGTAGCAAGTGTTTCCTTGGCACAAAATATTTGCTGAACAAACTCTGCTTTAATCTGCCATTGGAGAGTCATTTAATCTGAATATTACAGTTGTATCTCTTTAATGCTTAGTAAGTGGAGGGGGGGAGGCAGAAGGTTTGCAGGAGAGAGAACTTCAGTAACCCAGATCTGTCTAGGTTTCTGCTTGTGGATGAAAAATGCTCTAAATGAAGGGCTATCTGGCTATATCTATATAAGTATATAGCTAATTTGCAGGCTTCTCGAGCGCTGTTTAAATTAAAATTATGTAGTCAGAAATTAAAATAAATTTGCGCCTCATTTATATGCATTCTGAAAACATTTAATTTTATGAGCTGATGTATCTCCCAACTGCAGGGAAAATAGAAATTGGCAAAAGAGTCTTCATCAAGGCTTTTTAATGAGGCACACTCGATATTTGTCAGTAGAACAATACTGCTCTTGAATCCCAATTCAGCTCTTTTTGTGATAGCTCTGAAGTGAGACGTTCAAGGAAACGTTGAAGTGAGGAAGGGACTGTTGGTCTGTGAACAGAGGGAAGAAAAAGGCCGAGATGTTTTCAGAGGTGGTTAATGAGCATCTCTCTTCTTTGCATTGGTAGAAGTGATTGTGTCTGGCATAAAAAAAAAAATTAGGAGCTCTGGAAATAATTGCCGACAGATATTAAGAGCTTTCGGGGCCTGAATAGTCAAGAGAACTTGGCTACCTTAACTGCCTTGAAGGCACTCCTCTTCTGATGTACACCTCTTACTAGCCAGACTTTGTGAATGCTTTTTCCCCTGTACCAGTTTGCAGCTGCCTTGTCTTGTTGGAGCAAGATAAGAATACAGTTCTGCTCTGAACAATAACTGCATTCAAATGGCTCAGGTTTGCCCATAAGGAACTATGCTAGTCGGATTTGCCCGGTGTTTGCTAGCGTGATGTTTGTCCTAGGCAGTGCAAGTGTCTCAGTTAGCGTAGTCTGAAGATGAGCTTTCCTTCCTATGTGGAGCCAGCAGGAGGTAATGGGGCCCTGGGGCTTTGCCCCATCCTCACGGTGATGTGGCTTGTGGTGAATTGCACCAAATGGGGTGAGTGGCAGAGGTAGCTGGAGTCCTTTGTCCCTCCCACTGATTTCCACCGAAGAGAGAGTGGCATGCTTTGCTCTCCAGCATCTCATGTCCCCCACACCTCTCCAGCTCTTCACAAGGCAGGCAGAGCAATGAAGAATGGTCCATCCCTGACCAGCAAGCATCAGTCCAGGTCAAGCATAAGGTTAGCAATGCTGGTTGGCCTTCGTATCCCACCACTTACAGTCAACCATCCTATGCCACCACTATCAACCAGTTCCCAGTCCTTTAAAAGGAAAGTAGTAGCCCCCCATATTACATGCTAACCAGTTCCACAGATCTGTACCTGGAAATGCTGATGGGGACACTCATTATCACTCCTCTGCAATGCAAGTCCAATGATAAACATACTGTTCCATTAATGAATGATTTAATCATGCCTCAGAGATCTCATTAAATGCAGAACGAGGTTCCAAATTCCTATTGCGGTTTAAAGGGAGAACAACAATGCTCACCGGAGTGTCAGATGTGCCAACGGTTTCATGGCTTGGTCTTGCTTTACAGGTAGGCAAAGCCTGGGGGCAAAAAAAGATGTGTTTTAGCCAAGAAATGAGTAGTAGGGAAGTGAATAGCAAACGAGTGGAGTTCTTTGGATGGAATAGCAGTAATGCCTTTCTTCAATCAAAAGAGAGTAGAAAACCAGGAGAGTGTTTCCAAATCCATAAACCCTGCTGGGGGTGCCTCGCTGGGTGAAAAAAAAGCTTATTGGAAAAGTTCAGAATTTGTTGGAGAGCCAGAAAGCCGAAAGTTTTTGATGTTTGTTCTTTTTTAATGAACACACACACAAAAACCCCAACACCGTAGACAGCAGATGCTTTTAATTAAAAAAAAAACCTGCTTAGTCAATAATCTGAACTTCCCTACAAAAGTAGCTGAGATAACAAGTTTTTTTAGTGATCCTGCTGGGATCATTGCATGGCTAAAGCACAGAGCCGACACTTAAGGGTTGGACTTCTGCACCGTCCCTGCCCAAGACAACCTCTGTGCCCAAGGCAAAGGACCAAGGGCCACATCCCACCACCATTACTGGAGCTTTATTTCCTGAGTGGCCTCTCAGTACGGTGATGGAGTAGGACTCAGATGTGAATAGTCTAAGCCAGGGTATTGGAAGCCTTTCTGTGCCACTGTTTCTCAATGTGCAAAGCAGGGACCTTGATGCCCCCACAGCTGACAACAGGGACTTTGAAGTTGAATCACTCGAGTACGGTGCTTGGAGACTCGAAGACCCACCTGTGTTAGTCTCGAGACGTAGGATGCCACCTTGTCCCTTGGCTGCTGTTGCACTTTGGTGCTGCTGAATGTAAGGCAAAGGCATCTTCGCTGCAGCAGCCGGGTTTGTTTTGTGCGGATTGCAATATGGGTTGGAGGTGAAAGAGATGCCAGGAAACGAGTGAACTCAAAGCTGTTAAGGACTCTGAAGAGTGATGAGAGGTGGCTCCGTTTTGAGCACATGGTGAAAAGGAAAATAGGGCATGAGAGCGCGTGATGCGGAGAGCTTGAATCTGGTTTTCGGTGTCCTCCCCTATCCGCCATCCCTCCCCTCTGATGCTGCGTGTAGACGGCAATGCCAGAAACACTAACAAATGATTCAGTCCCTTTATTGAATCCCAGGCTCCACAGATTCAAATGAAGCATTTAGCCTGCCACTTGTCCCAGCTCAGGCAGGCTGCAGAAACGAACGTGCTTGTTCAGAGTCCCAATTAGCCCGGCAGGCCTTTACCACTCTGTGTGTCTCTGATATCAGAAAGCTTGCATTGCTCATTCAGTTTGATGGTGGCCTGGGGAAGAAGCCATATCAAGCGCCTTTGAGCTGGGTTCGGTAGTGGTGTTGAATGAAATGGAGACAGCACGCTCTAAAAATGACCTGGTTATTTGGCGGGTGCTATTTTTTGCAGGCTCAACCCCCCTCCCCCCCACCTGAGTTCACAAAGATAGCGACCCAGAGTATCACATGTGCAAATCAGGCAGGCAACTTGTATAGAGGATCACTCTGAATGTGCCAGCTACTCAGGTAGTTGTGCCTCAAATCACAGATTTATCATTTGCACTTGAAAATTAGGCACTTAATGCCACGTGTGTTATAGAACTGCCATCCTTGGAGGCTTTTAAGACCTGGCTAGACAGAGCCCTGGCCAGGGTGAGCTAGGTGGGGCTGGTCTTGCTTTGAGCAGGGGGTTGGACTTGATGTGATGTCCCTTCCAACTCTCGTTTTCTGTGATTTTAGGAATCTCAACCATACAAAGCTCTCGGTCCTTGCATGCATGTGTGCACAGATATGGCTTTGCGTCTTTCAAAATTAATTTTGGACCAGGATCTGTGCATCAGATGCAAAAACTCAGAAGCAATCTGGATCCAGATGCAATTTTTGCTCTCACTGGTTTTTTAAAATTAAACTAAAAATGGCAAGCGGGAATTCAGATGCCCAGCGGTGTGAAAACATCTATGCCTTTGAAAGAGTAGCAAATGGCTAGTGAAAAAGAGATCAATAAAACCAGTGCAGAAAACAGTGGCATCTTCGTGGATAAGTTTATGGCATTAGTTTATATCGTCTTTTTCTCCAAAAAAAGAGAAACGTCTCGGCATGCAGATTTCTGACAAGCAACAATGCTAATAAATAAACAAACAATCCTAAGTGGGGGCAGAAAGAGTCTGCTAAAAACTGGAGATAAATTATTAACTGGGTTATAGATAGAAACCACTTTTTTCCAGCCAAAAATCTCTGCAGATGGAGCTGATCCAGGCTGCAGCCACTCTTCTTGGGAAGCTGACAGCATCCTTCCCCTGCTTCAGCGCTCAGATGTGCTGCGACAGCAGCAGTACAGTAGCAGAGCGTGCTGGGATTAGACCTCTTTTGTTCGTCTTTGGTTGCAAGATAAATGGCACAAGCAGGATCCGTTGGGGCACGCGGCTGACTGCCGAAAGTGCAGCTGGAATAATTAGCGAGGCTGAGATAGATAGGGAGCTTGAAGTGCTCTGACCATTGAAGAAATGGTTTGAGCCACATCTTCCCCAACGCCCCTTCCTAACAGGCGGGGACACGGGCTGTCAGATTGAACTCAGCGGTAGACGGCATTGAGGTGAGAAGCAAGACTCTTGGCCATGGTGTCAGTTTGCGGTACACAACGTTTTGCCATAACAGGAAAGCAAATACCTACAAAATGAGAACATCTTGATTAGAAAAAGAAAGAAGCGTGACAGGAACAGCTAAATTAGAGAAATCCACAATTTTTTTTTGTATTTTCAGGTCAAGATCTGTTGACTAGCTTTACACAAATGTGGTAAACTGCATACATGAAAGGAAGATCTTGCTTTCATGGAGTGGTGAATTGTAGGGGTTGCTGATTTGTTGAGTTGCCCAGGATGTAAGAATATTTTCTTACTCTATTCAGCACTGGGGAGGCCACGTCTGAAGTCCTGTGTCCAGTTTTGGGGCCCCCAGTACAGAAAGGAGGTGGACAAATTGGAGAGTCCAGCGGAGGGCAGTGAAAATGGTTTGTGGGCTGGGGCACGTGACTGGTGAGGAGAGGCTGAGGGAACTGGGCTTGTTTAGTGTGGAGAAGAGAAGACCAAGGAGGGATTTGATAGCAGCCTTCAGCTCCCTGCAGGGGGGCTGCAAAGAGGATGGAGCTGGGCTGGTCTCAGTGGGGACAGATGACAGGGCAAGGAGCAATGGGCTCAAGTTGCAGCAAGACGATTTTAGGTTAGACATTAGGAGAAACTCTCTCACTAGCAAGGTAGAAAAACACTGGAACAGGTTCCCCAGAGAGGTGCTGGGATCTACATCCTTGGAAGTGTTTAAGACCCAGGTAGACAAAGCCTTGGCTGGGATGATGTAGTTGGGGCAGGTCCTGCTTGGAGCAGGGGGTTGCACTAGATGTGACCTCCTGTGGTCCCTTCAACCCTCATTTTCTATGATTTTTGGTAAACCAGCCGCAAATCTTAATGGAATTCCCTGGGCCCAGGTACTAATAGAGCAATCATTACATGAATATAATTGATCAGGCCTGCAACTTATTGTAGGCATGATCAATACCCTAAACTAGATCATTGCAAACTCTTTGCGTTATTAGTAGAGATGTTCCCAGACCAAATTCACAGATGCAAACCACCTGGGAGGCAAACTTTGGGCATGAGGCCAGATCTGAACTTTGCAGTGGTTCACATCCCGCTCTGCAGGGAATCGACTGTTGACAGAAATGCACTAAAGCAGTAGTATCACATTTCCACAAATTATGCAGGGACGCAACGCAGCCCCAATGTTACCTTGATATGAGAAGTGTCTATTTTGCCAATCAGCTTCATTTTGTAATGAAGGTGGATTTCCCTTTGTTGCTTAGAAACTAATTGCTGGCTTTTAAGTCTATATACAAACTAAAGTGACAAAAGCCAAGTTTGTTTCAGGTCGTTGGTGAAAAGCCTGCTGATCCAAGTCCAGGAACACAGGTGCCTATGTTAAGAGAGCAGGGGAGGTTTTACAAAACTTGCAGAGCTCAGTGGCTGGAGGATCCAGAGTCAAGTTTCTCTCATTATTAGTAGGATGTTCTCACTAGTTTTCCCGGCAACCGACTAGAAGATTACTCTGGAGTGCTTTATTTATAGCAACTCACAATTAATCTGGCATAGCCTACAGCCAGGATGTTTGACAGCATGATACTACCACTGCTCTATAGCAAAGCAAACTCCAAACTGGCCAAGTAATTTGATGGAAGACCTTCAGGGAGCACCTAGGTACAGCAAGACATGTTGGTACCAATGAAAAAGGTTGTGCCCTTCCCTGTGTCTGTACTGAACCCATGCTTCACCTGTATTAGGAGACACTGGGCTGCTGGAAGTCTGGTCTTTTGGAGGAGAAGTAAAACCAAACCTCTGACACCAGTTCTGAACCTAAGGGCCTAATTTGTGCAAGGTGAGGCCTGCTGTTTTTGCCTGCTTAGGTTGGCACTTGCAAATTGAACATTTGTGCATGCAAAGAGGTTTCTTAATCCACTCTGAGTACATTTGCCCAATTTTCATGCACAGTGTAGCTTGTTTGTGTGCTGGTGCCCATGGAAAAAAAAGAAAAGTGCCTTTGACATCATTCATTGGAAGTTGTCTGGTAATTATATCTACACTTTTAGCAAGAGCTCAGGTCGCAGCAGCTTCCCCCAAAAGGAGGAACCTGCCAGGTAGTTACAACTCACCTGCCTATCACCACAATGCGTATTCAGTGTAAAAGTTCTCTTTACTGCGTGTCCTAAAAGGGCTTGTCGTGTGGATGTGTGCGGTTAAAAGGGCTGCCTCGGAAGTTGGCCCCCTGCTCAAAGGTAAAGTGATCTCGGTATCCTGCCAACAACCAATATTTTCAAAATGACCTGCACAGTCTGGCTCACTTGTCTGCACAGCTGCACAGTCACTCGGTGTGCACACACACACAGGAATGCACATGCAAATGAGGGGTTCAGAATGCATGCACTTTTGTGCGCACAAGTGTGCAAATTGCGAATGGCATTTTGCAAGCGTGAGCCACATTTTGCAAGGTTTGTGAACGGATTCAAAAAGGATGAATGGATTCTGATTCTTTGTTTTTTTTTTTTCCCTCCTCCTTCAATTCATTTTCCCCTCAGTGCGGATGGGGACTTTGCTGTCACTCACCTGACCAAAGCCCACCTGTTTTACGATGGCAGAATCAAATGGACACCTCCTGCCATCTACAAAAGCTCCTGCAGCATTGATGTCACCTTCTTTCCCTTTGACCAGCAAAACTGCACCATGAAGTTCGGCTCCTGGACCTATGACAAAGCCAAGATAGACTTAGTGAGCATGCACAGTCACGTGGACCAGCTGGACTACTGGGAGAGTGGGGAATGGGTCATCATTAATGCCGTGGGCAACTACAACATCAAGAAATACGAGTGCTGCACAGAGATCTATCCTGATATAACCTACTCCTTTATTATCAGGAGGCTGCCTTTGTTCTACACCATCAATCTGATCATCCCTTGCCTCCTCATCTCCTGCTTGACCGTCTTGGTCTTCTACTTGCCTTCGGAGTGTGGTGAGAAGATCACGCTTTGCATTTCCGTGCTGCTGTCGCTGACTGTCTTTCTGCTGCTCATCACCGAGATCATCCCCTCCACCTCCCTGGTCATTCCCCTGATCGGAGAGTATCTGCTCTTCACCATGATATTTGTCACCTTGTCCATCATCATCACTGTCTTCGTACTGAACGTGCACCACCGCTCACCACGCACCCACACCATGCCAGATTGGGTGAGAAGGATCTTCCTCGACGTGGTCCCGCGCCTCCTCTTCATGAAGCGGCCCTCGGCAGTGAAGGACAATTGCAAGAAGCTCATCGAGTCCATGCACAAAATAGCCAACGCTCCAAGAATTTGGTCCGAGACCGAAGCAGAGCCCAACTTTGTGACCTCCTCTTCAACCAGCCCTCAGAGCAATGAGCAATCCCCCACATCCTCCCTCCGTGCCCATCTCGAGGAGCCAACCAAGCCCCCATCGGTCTGCAAGTCACCTTCAGGCCAGTACTCTGTGCTGCCCCAGGACCCGGTGCAGGTGAGCTGCTCTTCCCCGCAGCCCCCCAGCCACCCCCTGAGCGACACGCAATCTTCCTCCATCGCCAAAAGCAGGTCATTAAGCGTTCAGCAGATGTACAGCCCCAATAAAGATGAGGAAGGGAGCATCCGGTGTAGATCCAGGAGCATCCAGTATTGCTACCTGCAGGAGTCGTCGTCCCAGACCAACGGCCAGTCCAGCGGCTCTCCGGCCTCTCAACGTTGCCGCCTGAATGAAGACCGGTCCCCACGCAAGCCCTCTCCCTGCAAGTGCAAGTGCAAAAAGAAGGAAGCCGCTGGCACTTCAGGGCAAGGCACCAAAGCTCACAGCACCAAAGAGCAGCCCCTTCTGCTGATGTCCCCTGCCCTGAAGCTGGCGGTGGAGGGGGTCCACTATATCGCAGACCACTTGAGAGCAGAAGATGCAGATTTCTCAGTAAGTATAATGACCCAGCCCATGCCCGTCATGCTTCGTAAAGAGGGGTTACAAAACCTCACGTAAAAGCAACCAGGAAAAGGAGGGGAAAACCTTCTCCGCTCTCTTTTTCTGAATTTTAATGGGAGTCTCCACTCAAAATGTGAGTTAAACAATTTCAGAGTTTGAACTATTTCAACCAGGTCTAGTTAAAACAGGGCACGGGGTCCAGTCAGTGGGAACTCAGCAGCTTGCTGAATTGGGTTTCAGCTTGGCCCCAGGGCTGTGCTGCCGCTGGAGTTATCCGTGTCGGAGAAGACCGTAGCGTATCGTCACGCTGTTGTTGAGAACCGAATCTCCCGTTGCTCTTTTTAACCTTGGCAGCCACAATGTAGTTTTAACAGGCCCAGCTTTGCTAGCTTTGTAATTCACGGTGCCCATCTCCTGGCTCTGCATCTTGTTGAACACCGTTGTTTCTAAGTTTAGCACACTGCAGTTGCCTACAAATAAAAGACCAGGACACAGTCTTATAACAAGAGAGCAAACTGCACTCACTGAAAGCAAATCAAAACTGAGCAGGCTTCCCTGAGCTCTTCCGCCCTGACCTGTGGTCACGCCAAGTGCTAAACAACTCCTGTGAGAAGCTGGATGCTGTAAATCCCATTAACGGTAGGGGAAGCTAAGAGTACTCAGTACCGCCCAGGATTGGGCCCTGAGTGCTGCCAAACACAATAACCCATCCTTAAAGCTATTATCTGGGAGTGGAAAGCCTGTACACTGCAAACATCAGATAAAACGCAGAAAGAGAACTAAAAGCAATCATTTATTGGGAACTTAACTGAATTTTGCTTTACAGATAAGCCTCTGACAGGCTGGGAATTATCACTCCCTACTTTCTATTAAGTATTGACTTGGGTTATTGAGTCTGGCAAAGCAAAGCTCCTGCATGGTTTATTGATGCAGCCTTTCATGCCGTGGGGTTAGGGTAGGTTTACTGCTCCGAGGCCTGATTTGGGTACTACCGGTTTTATGCCGATGGGTAGGTATTCACACTGTAGAGCAGGCATCTACTGTGTGGTGCATCAATAGTAGAGTAGCCATCTATACCTACTTTACAAAGGGGCAAATAGGCAAGACTGGGGGATCAAACTGGACGTTTTTGCTGCTGCAGACAGAAGTTCACATCCTGGCTCAGACCAACAGAGAAGAGGGCTGTGATAGGTTGCATACTCTTGATGCAAGAGGTTGTTAGAGAAGATGAACAAATACCACCCCAGGTAAGCCCAGGACTGGAACAGCACAGGTGGTAGGAATCTCTCCCTGATCTTGCCCAAATGTGGGCCATTAGTAGCCCCCTTCCACATGCCTGAGTGCAGCATTCACTGCCACCTATTGCTGTTCTTCCAGCAATGGGATGTCATCGGTAATTATGGCAACACCTGATGGAAAGTTTGGAGATGACTTGATAAATACCTGCTGGACCAGAAATGCAGAAATTCACCCACAGGCAGAAAAAGCTCCTGGAGTTGGGCTGCTGTAGCAAAGTTAGTCTTGAGGCTGCATGCCTTTGTGGATATCTGCAGTGCATGGTACTTTTGTAGCATCGCTGCCGTTCACCCTTATGGGCTGTCTGTCCCTCGGGTATGAGCACTTTTTTTGCATGTGTGTCTTGTACTGTGCTGAGCAGCACATGAACACATGAGTAGCAAACCTAAGCATCGCCACCATAAATCCAGGCTGCCATCTATTTTCACATGCTCGTTTACCAGAATATCCCAGCTCCCCAAAAACTTTCATATATTTATATGAACACCCCTGTGAAGGCAGGGGAAGGCTAGTATTGCCATTTTTTAGATGGAAAATTGAGGCGTAGAGGGACTAAGTGAAATGCATTAAGTCACACTGCTCTGTAACAGAGCAGAGACTGGGACCAAGTGCCCTGACCAAGAGACCATCCTTCTCAAAAGCCCTCACACATTGACCCGAGACCCTAAGAACTAAATTCTGGTCTCATTTTAACAGTGTAAATCAGAAGAAACACCTGGAAGTCAATAGATATTTTTTTCTTAAAAAAGAAATCATATTTTCCTTCTTCATCAGAGCAATGATACCTTCCATGTGCTACAAATCTCCTAATAATAAGCGTGTTGATATCTACAAAGCAAACGCTTATATTGCATTCCTTGTAATATTTATATGCTCTCATTTGCAATGTTGATAGTGCTTGTAACAAACTGTTGAGTGTTATCCAATATCATCAGATACTTTTTCCTTGTGAAACATTTTATGTATCTTCAGGGGACAATTACCTACATCACAGATTTCTCTGTATGGGAAAGAGGGGGGTTTGGCATCCTGTAAATGAAGGGCTTACCGCATCAGTCCGTAGGTTTAGTTGCAAGAAAAATCCAGTGAGAGAACTGAAAAGCAAATTGCAAAAAAAATATTACCCTGGGGATCCCTGCGGCTTCATCTTTCATTGGGGAAAGAAGGAAACATCTATAATATTAAATTGTTTTATTTGATTGCTAAATAAACAAGATGGTTTCATCAGCATCTAACACCATAGAGAGCATTGCAATTTCCTTAGAAAATAGAGAAAAAAAAAAGCAGTAAAGCAGCCCTGGGGCTCAATGTCTTTGTTGGGTGGAATAGCTAAGCTCTCTGCACTGATTTTGTGCCCTCCCCAGCAGGTTTTGTGGGGTTGCATTTCTTCTGAATCCAGGAGTGGAAGCAGGCGTGATCCATTCTGTGAAACAAAGGCAATGGTATAATGTGAACCGAAGCTAACAAGGGAGAAACCCATGGAAAATTCCTGATATTTCAAAGTTGGCTGTCATCTGAAGTCAGAATGAAGAGTCACGCATTGACGTATTTAATGGAGCACAAATCCCCTTTCCCTTCCCACCACAAATATATATATATATATATATATATAAAAATAATGTCACCAGTTACTCTGAACCTGTCTACAACTTGAGAGAGGAAGCACTGTTGCTGCTACTTAGTACGTGTGTGTGTAGTAATGGAGCCAGAGTTTCTCTGGAAGTTCCTGACTTTTATTACTGTTAAGTATTGTTGCCACAGGGGTCATGTTGTTAAAAGAAAAGAAAATACCTCATTTAATTAAGTGCTTAATTAGAAAGAAGACAGGGAAACCCAGGAGCAGTCGCATGTTACAAAAGTAGTGCATTACAAAAAAAAAATCTGTGTATAAGGCGCAGGAGTTCACGTGGAGAAATTAGAGAAAATTGGATACTTCCACTGTATACTAGAAATGCCATCAGAGATTGCTTGCGGACTTTGATAAGCAAGACAAATTGCATAGCTCAGGCAAGCCAGACAGGAGCCATGCTGCCTTTTCCAGTCCCACATAAGGGTCTGGCAGTGCAGTTACTGGTGACTGTATCTGTACCTTGGCTTGGGGGTTGTGTTGTTTCTTCTGTGCAAAGGAAGGTTTTGCTGGTAATTAATTTGCACCCCAGCTCAGTGCTGGTAGCTTTGCACTATTTGCATTTTGCTTCTTTTTCCAGAACTGGTGTTTGAAGTGTGCTAGAGGCCAGCATTATGGTGCGATACAAATTGTCCTGTGAATAGTACAATAAGAAATGGTAGGACACAGAGCATCTGCGCTCACATCTTTTAGCTGGCTGAGAATACCAGTGCAGCTCGTATTCTTAGGAAAAGATAAGTTAGATTGCACAGTATGGACTTTGAAATGCTCCATCCTATTTTCCCTAACTTCAGATCTTTGCCATTTCTTTTCTCTCCAACTCAATGGATATTCATTTGTTAAAGCTGCATCGTTTCATAGTTGTTAGGGCTGGAAGGGACCTTACAGATCATTGGGTCCAGCCCCCCTGCACTTGGGCAGGAACAGAAAGGGAAGAAATGGGGAAATAAACTGTAACCAGAAACAGTCGAACACATCCGACACCTTTTTCTATTCCCATTAGCCGTGATCCAGCAGGGTAATTGAATCAGGACTAAACAGAAGTGCCAGAAGGATCCCCCCTGAAGTCAGTAGCAATGTACACACACTTCTGTAGTCAGCCCCCCTTGGCTGAATCAGGTTTCAGTCGTATGCAGACCGATTTCCTTTCCTCAAATGCATTGCTTATGTAGAGTTGTTTGCTAAATCATTGCTTGATGTAGTTCATTGCCCTGCAGCTTTTCTTCTCATTCCCTCCTTGTAGCCATCCCACGTCCTAAATCTGAGCTGTTCCAATGCGACTCAGAGGTCCCATGCTACTTGTTTCTGTTCCTGGATGGCATGACTTTGCCTCTTAGATTTTCTGCCCAGTTGTAGAGCAGGTAGAAGCTGGATATTTACTTTCTGCCTTATATTATGCAATGGCTGCTTAAAATTCACGGCTTGGGCCAGCCTTCCTGCCAGGGAACACATTTGCTGGATTAATCAGGGAAAGCAAATTCAAAGATGTGTGCAATATTTGATGCTATTTTAAAATAAAATCATTTGGTAGGGAAGGGATGTAGAATCCCCTCCCCCTCCACCAGCCCTCCCTACCACCAGTTTTATTTATAACAAGGTATAATATATACCTTTGGGACTGCTCTAAACTTTGCCACTGATTACGGCCCCTAAAGAACTGGTCTGCCAGCTTTCAATCCCTGGAGTACGTCAGCACCTCACACCAGTCCTTACATTAAGGTCGGCAAGGAGAGAGCATAGGGCTGTTTTAAAGGGCCCGTGTATTTGGAGACTCCAGATGGGGAGATCTGGCTTGTTCACAGCCCCTCAATCCTTTCCTTTGGACAACCTTGGAGGTTGCCTCTTAACAACTTATCAGAACACGGATCAAAACTTCAAATGTCCGGTGCTGACATCTGTAGCCCAGCTGCTGGTGACAATCTCTGCAAATTGTACTCTGCACAAATTACTACAAAGAGGGTGATATGAAGAGGAGTTGAAGCTGGCAGGAAAGACAAAAATACCTCCCTTTTCTGTTCTTTTTTCCAACTCCTCTCCTGGATTCAACCATCTCCCTTCTGTGCTCTGTCTCTGACACTGAATAATATCCACTTAGTGATATTCTTGCAAGCGATATTCTTGCAAACTGGAAGGGTCATTGTCAAGAAGAGCGAAGTATTCTGCAAATATAGTCAAACTTGAAGGGAAAGTTCAGTAGAGCTGCTCAAAACCCTCTTCATGTGTCCTTCCCTGGAATAAGCAAGCACCTAAGCCTGCCGAGCATAAAGAGTTGCAAAAAGTCCTTTTGCCGCAAAAGCTGAAATATTTGCTGAATGTGGATTTCCAGTTGTGCACCTGACTGCAAAATTCACAGTCGGTAATATTTGGCTGCAAACATCCTGAAACAGAAATGACATTTCCAAACTTATTTAGCTATGGCAGCCAACACGAACGCTGAATGTCAAACTGTGACACTCGCAAGCCGGCAAACAGCTCAGAATTGCTCTCAGCAGTGGTGAAGAAGGCAGAGGACAGCGTGACCTGCTCTTTTCCAGTTGATAAAGGGGGTGGGGAAAGGTGGAAATCACCGAATAAATTGCCTACTTTAAATTAGAGGGCTCATCCCGACCAATTGCAGGAGATTTCTCATGAGTTGTTTCAACTTAGCTGTATTTCCATAGAGCCTAGGAACGAACCCCAGTCCCATATTACGACCCTGCATACTTGGTGGTGTACAAATACAGACCAAAGAGACTGTCCCTTCCCCAGATTGCTCATGAGATTCAGGATCAAGCCCTAGTTGCTTGTCTTTGATTCTGAATAGGAAATCTGAGCAAGAAATAAGCATTATATCCTCCCCCCCCACAGCTATCTCTGAGCACAAAGGGCTCAATTCTGCCAGGTCTTGAGGACACTGGCCTAAATGCAACAAATTGTTGATACGCACGTTTGACTTAAATCATCCAGGCAGTGCCAGAGAGGTGACTAGAATGGCTCTGTCGCATAAGTATTCGCTGGATCAAGTGCAAATACTTTGGACTTTGCAAGTATTCCTTGTGGTATATCACTTATACCATATTTTGACCCACCCATCTCAAGTGACAAGTAGAAAGGGTTATATTTAGCTGCAAGCATCAACAGTCTCACCCAATTCAATTGTAGCCCTTAACCTATTACTGCTGCATTCACTTTCCTTACGTGTCACCAGTATGTCATTTCTGCAGCCACCCTTCCTTACGTATTGCCAGTGCATCATTTCAGCAAGTCTTTCCCCTGAAGTGGGTAGCCAAGTGCAGTCCATTGTGTACATTTGGGAATGCAAATGTCTGAGTTGCCATCTGTTAGATGCAATGGATACAGCTCGTTGCAGGGGGTACCCCGTCTGTATCCAGGTCCCACCTCCTCTTGATAGTGTGCCCTTCTCAATGTCAATGCAGATGCTCACAGTTCTGCTCTGATGTTATAACTGGCCTGTATAATGTGTGGACTGAGTTAAAAATATTTACTCTCATGGTACTGAAATATTTGTTTTTCCTCTTTGAATTAAATTCAGTCACAGGACTATTACCCTAGGATTTTAATTGCACCACTGAGCTAATTCATAGAATAGTTGATATTAATTCAAGGTGACTCCTGGAGAATGAAGATAAAGAAAATTAGGCACCCATTGGTTTAACTAAATTAAGATGAAGAAAGCAGGGATATGATTTCTGCATTTGGCACTTTAGATTCAGCACAGTTAAATGTCTTTGAAAAGGAAAAGAAGTCCAAGATGACTGTAGAATCAAATTACCAGCTTCCCTTCACAGAATTTATTATCACTTTCCAGGGATCAAGGATATATGAAAGTACAAGCAGGGTGGATACAAGGTAATAGTGTGCGTTACACTATTAGTGCCAAGTCGCTGAAGTTTCATGAACCGCAGCATTAGGAACAATGCATGGGGAAAGGGTGTTATTCCTTCATCAGAGCTTGGCATTTCTTATTTTCCTATTTAAAACATTCACCTTTCCATTTAGGGAACAGGCACAATATCAGATGACTTACATAATTAGAGCAAGCTATAGGATTAGTAAATAATCAAAGTAATAGAGCGAATGCATTACACCAGAAGCTGATTTGTATGAACTATTCAGTGATCTTTGTCAATGACACATAGAGTTGAAGATTTACCATTAATTCATAAAAATAGATTGCAAGCCAAAACAAGAGCTAAATGCAGAAAACTTCTACGCGATGTATAACCCACTAGCCCTACAAAATACAACAACACGTTGCACAGAAGCTAGAATTGCCATCTGCCAGCAGCAAGTCATAATTTCTCTGCAAACTTGTGTGATTTATGAGAAGACAAACCTCTGTTATGCATCCATTAATAATGAAGGAAGGAAAGAGGCAGGTTTGTAAGGTGACTGGATTTTATTCATGGCAGCTGATTTGTTTGACTATATGACAGATCATAATATTGTATTAGCTGATGCCTGGAACATTGTTTATGATGCCACTAAAACCTGCAAAAACCCACTCCATTATTTGAGACGGAAATAGCTATTTCATTGACACTTAGAGAACTTCCTTTCACTTTGACATGCTTAAGAGCATTTTCAGTAAATCCAGGAAGCCCATAAAAGCAAGCAACTGTATTTAAGGGCCTTTGCAAAACTACTCGTTGCCTACCTTGTACTAAGAAATGACCTCAGCTACTCTCCAAAGAGTAAATGTTTTAAAATGGCACAATGTACAATGGATGCTTATTGATTATTCCCTGTGGTTAAAGTGACAGGTATTTTGCAGCACAGACTATGAGGTTGTAAAGACTTTGAAGTTAACCAAAGAGGCATCTCCTGTCTCCTGTGGGGCATCACCAAGATGCCTATGATACAGCTTCCAGGACACGGGGCCCTGGCTAGCACCAGCAACACACCCAACACGGTCTCAACTCTGCTCCCATTAAAAAAAATAAAAATAAGAAATATTATAGTGTCATTTTAACTCTTCAGAGTTTAAGCACAGTGGCCGGGGAGGGTAATGGGAGTTTGAGTCTCTACCTAATGCTGCCAGCGACTTGCTGCTTTTCCTTCAACAGATAACCGACCTCTCTCTACCTCAGTTTCTCCATCTATAAAGGGCAGATAATAGTACTTAATGTGCTTTATAAGGGGTTGAGGGAGATTTATGGATGAAAGCCCCTGCAGGAATATTACATATTACTGTTATTAATTGCTGAACCCTTCAGCTATGCTACCGTCTAATAAATCCCCAGCAAACAACAAGACGAATTGCTACATTTCAACCCGGAGCCCTGGGCAGTGGTTAGTGTATTAACCACCATGCAGTACATTATAGGTAATTGTAATGGGAACATCCATATAAATTAAGACTTCACTGTCTTCTCCTACTGCTTCCTGGGAAAGAAATTAATGACTGCAGTGCAGGGGTTTTTTGCCCTTGTTTTTTAAAGGTTTTCCTGTGCATGCAGTTTGTTATTCAAAAAAAAAAAAAAAAGATCATCTGTAATGACTAACTCCAGCTCAGTGGGACAGAAAACCTTTTGGTCTTCCAAGGAGAAAGGTCCTAGGAAAAATCCTCCCAGCACAAGATGCAAGGGGTGTGAGGGGGAGGCAGTGAAATCATTTCTCTTCTTTTCTAGCTCATTTGCACTTCTGACTCAGCAATAGCAGAAAAATCCCTTCCCCAGATGGACTTGGTGTTAAGTCCATTTCAGCTATTTAAGCAGGGCAGAAAGGAACGCCTTTTCCTCCAGCTTGAACCTCTGCCCAACTTACACATACCCACGCTCATGGAAAATTGGCTATTGCATATACCTGATTAGTTATTTGCACAGTGAGTTATTTGATGGGCTTGCTTGGTTGCAAATTCAGCATATCCGCACTGCTACTTCAGCATCTTTAATAGGAGAAACCCCTGACTTTGCATGATGAGTGCACTGGCCTTTCGCTGTAGCTGCCCTAATTGCTCCTCTCATCTCCGCATTTCCAGGTGAAGGAGGACTGGAAGTACGTCGCCATGGTCATCGACAGAATCTTCCTCTGGATGTTCATCATCGTTTGCTTGCTGGGAACTGTCGGTCTCTTCCTTCCACCTTGGCTAGCAGGCATGATCTAATAGCTTTGGCAAGAACAAAGTTTGCCCCATTCGGAGGGTTTTCGGCCACCTGGAAGGAGACGGAGCAGGAGACAGGTCTCCCCGAATAATTTACCGTGTGTCTGCGCATGAATCGTTCCCGAGAGCTCTGGGAACACCTTCTACGGTTGCATCATTTGCCAAGCCATTCTCATCTTCTGCATCTTCTTTCTGGGGGAAACTGTTATTAATGTGTATACATAGCATGGTGGCATTCATTGACGTATATCTAACAAAGGAAGGACATGGGCACGGGTCCTGAAAGCAGTGCAGATGGTGGCGTTGTAGACAGACCAGCCAAATTAATTTCACTTGACTCGAGGGAGGCGCCCGTGTGTCCTCAAAGAGCAAGGTCACCTCTAAACCTGAAGTCATTCAGGATGGTATGTCCTTGTGACGGTCCTTTTATAAAGAAAGGGTCAGATTTGGGATTCCTGTCCAGGAGATGCTCTGACAGTCAAGGTGTAGACACAGCTGGCCAGGTTGCAAGGCATGCAGGGTCTGCGCTGCACCCACCCAACCTTCTCAGAGCCCACACTGGCACTCGCCCTGTGCGGCTCCCAACAGCTGTTGCAGAAACAGCTGCATTAAATGGTAAGGCCTTAGTCTGGACATCTTTACTCATACAAAACTTTGGAAGTGGGAGTTTTACCTGAGTAAGGACCACATACAAATTGAACACGGTCTTCAGGGTTGGTTCCCAGTGCATGGCTATCCATCCAAATTAGCTTTTGGTTGTGTTCATTTTCTTCAAGGGGCCAAGGGCTTTGGCCATATAGCAAAGAACGATGAGGCGCAGCCTGTCTGTGCAATGCATGGCATGAAAGGAAAACAGAGATGCAGGTTTAAAAATCTTGCAGTTATACATAAGGGCCCAAACTGTTTAAAAAGAAGACACCAGAATTAGATGCCCCAGCTCCCTTTTTGGGACATGCAGCTCGTCATCCAAAGTAAGACCAGCAGGCATCTAGCCAAACTTCTCAGAAGACATTAGTAGCTCTGGATGTCTCCATTTCAGGTGAGACCAATTGTCCAAAAGCACCCACCTTCCGAAAAATTGCCTTCCTTTGGGCAGGGGGCTGGACTCGATGATCTTCCGAGGTCCCTTCCAGCCCTAATGTCTATGAAATCTATGAAAATCAGCCCCCATCAAAGCAGCTGCCTTTAGAGAGCATTAGTCCCTTCTGGAAACCTTGCCTGTGTATAGCTGCAAGTGTCCACCCAGTTATACTTAGGCAGCAACTGCATTTGCAAATAGACAGGTGATTATACAGCCTGTGTATTAAGATTCCTGTCTACGTGCAGTTTGTTTTTATAACCCCCAAGACTTGAGGAAACCTTGCTGAACGTTTAGGGCTCGCACCCAACGGGCTTGCAAAAATTCAAATGGGAAGTTCAAGTTGAAATTCCAGAAAATACTTCTCCAGAACGTGCTGGCAAGCTCCACAACTCCAAGCCTCAGTAGATTATTTACCTTTAAAAGCAGTGCTTATAGGTGAATAGCAATGAGAGAGGGGTGAGAAGAAGTTATATTCTATGGCATCTAGCATGTCTGTCAATATTTGAGGAAGCTTGGTTTTTATTTTATTTTTTTGTCAAGTCTGTTCCAGCTACAGACGCTTCTGAATCCAATCAGTATTGCAGATGATCAGGGAGAGAGGTTGGCCAGTGGTGTTATCACCCTGTCAGAAGGATCAGGCCCGTCTCCCAAAGGCAGCGTTAATGAGGCATGATGCTAACTTTCATTGGCGCAGGGTTTTGCCTAATTAGCTTTGTGTTTTGGACGGAAGGAAGGAGCAGCAAAGGGAGGATAATTTGGGACAGCAGAGATGCTTCATAAGGTGGACTCGTTACAGATGCATTACATGTGTTAATGCATTATGTTTCCACTGTGAAGATTTGGGTCCTACGCTTGGCTCGCATCCTACTGGAAAAGGCATCGGTGGCCTAATTATCATCCTCATGTATCCACATGATCAGTGCACCAGCATTGGCAGCCCTGCCTCTTGAAGGGTTAGATTACTAGCCAGGGATGTTCAGTCTTGCTACCCAATGGCAGGTTTCATGTCTCACCGCCCCTGCCTGAACTACGCCAGCCCAAGCCCATTGCATCCCTCCCTTGCTTGCATGAGCACGCAGCCCATGCCAATGCTTTCTGTACAGAAGTGGGGAGGTGGACAGGAGGCGGGGAAGCGGTTGGTGCTGGTGACCCCTGTGCAGCGTTCCCGAGGACTCTGAGCCAAATCTTTCTGGATAAAAAGAAATACAGTGATGAAACTTCCTAAAACGGCGTGAAATAAAGTCTTTCCAATCCCTTGCTTTTGCTTCTCTCTCTTGACTTCTGTTGGATGGGACTGAAATAAGAAAATGTCAATGCGTTCGCATGGCAGATTGCAGCTGGCATCCAGTTCTTTGCTAGGGAGTCGTCAGAATAGTCGTTCTGAAAAGGTGGAGAGAACATGTTTTGCTTTGAAAAATGTCTCCCTCTCTCCAGGCTCCTGAGCACTTAATGGATCATGCTATACCCCAAGATCTAAAGTGACCTAAAAAGACATAAAAATGTGTGTCATCCGGCATCTAGTTCCCCTTGGGATTTCTGCTTCACTGAAAGGCTAGGACCTCCTTTCAAGTTAGGGTTGCAGTATCAACATTTTCTCCCTGCTCCTACTTTTCTAATTGACTCTATATAGTGTGGTGGGGAGAAGGCTTTCCCTTGGATAGCTGCATTCAGAGGCTGCACAGCTCACGCCCTTCTTACGACTTTCAGGTCACAAAAAAGATGAATTTTTTTTTTTTTGCAGTTCTCAAAGAAAGAGACGAAGACAGGATCTAGGATGAGCCCTGCTTCATATCTTCCACCAGCAAATCGCCCTGTTAATAACTCGCGTGTAAGCTGTTCTATGTGCTGTAAGCTGAAATATTATCCAGGACCTTGCAATGCCAGTTAACCCACTGGGAATTACACTTTGCTTCAAGATTGCCCCCAATGTAAAACTCACTAGAACATGTCTGAGGTGCCACTTAAACCCCACTCAAAACAGAGCGCAAGTGGGACTTGCATGCTACATAGGACTCGTACAGTCCCTCAGCAAAGGGGGATTTTCACCCGGAAGTGATAGTATTAAAATGCAAGGGAAATGTTCAAAATCTGGTTGCAGAGATGGATTTCTGCCTATGGTTAAGCTTCAAGAACAGTGAAAAATAGCGATGCATCGAGACAAAGGGTGTTAACACCAAGACTGTCTTTCCCTTCTCAGTTGCAGCTTGAGTGAAACGGTAGGGCAGTCTTTGATGTTACAGCTGCAGCACCGACCGTCAGCTTTGGTTGAAGGTTGGATGTTTCCTCTAGAAGTTCATATGAAAGTCAGCTTGCAGGTGTGCTCCTTGGCATTAGGAGTCCTGCTTGCCTCCCAACGTCGAGTGGGCTGATACAGAAGAACTCTGGTAGCCTCCCATGAATCCTAATGTGACCATAAGAGGATGGAAAATCCACATAGAGGCATCACAGATGAGAGCATTAGGGGCTAAGCATCGTCTTTATCTGAACCTCCAACTTTGCCTCTACGACACCAAGCTGCCAAGTCAATGGCAGGTTCCATTTGAAGTCAATTGAATGTCTACATTTCCCATTGCAGCTGCAAATCAGGGCCCAGGTATTCTTGGGTCCAGGTCAAAACCTTAACTACATCGCTCTAAAGTTGCCTTTGCCTCCCACCAGCTGCACTCTGTGCTGGAACTCCGGAGAGCTGTAGCTCCAAGCCTGACCATACCGTGCTTATTTTTTCAGCTCTACGTACAGGCTGAAAAACCATTGCCAAAATTATTAAAAGGCTGAATCCCAAAGTCCTCTCTTCAGTTCCACTCCATTTATTGCCTCACTGAAGTCAGCCATCTGGTTTGCATAGCGAACTTGCAGCAGTTCATTCTCCCATGCATGGCCTGGTAAGATTTGATTGTCACAACAAATTTAAAATAGACCTCTGACCCAGCCAGCACATCAGGAAGACGATTAATTGTCCACGTGCTAGGAAAGAGCTTCAACTGTACAAGTAAAAACGGTGACAAGATGCCAGGCAGGGGGTGGCAGGTGCCAGGCATTGCATTTTGGAGGCAGCGCTTCTTCCGGCAATGCTCTTGCCAGTTGGGTGTTTGCGGCAGGCAGGCAGTCCTCAGGAAGGGAGTCACAGAGGCTCGACTCTATTAGAGAGTTATTTTTTCATTCAGCTTGCTTAAAAAGAATTAAAAAAAAAAAAATTTTCATTCAGCTAATCTCATCAGAAAACCCGGTGCTGTGCAATCTGGCTTGGCAGAGCAGCTGCTGTTTTTCATAACTCTAGGACTGGAGCTTTAAACTCTCCTTAGGCTTCCCAGATAAATAATAAATATACCGGCTTCAAAGGGGCCAGATTGGTGCAGACAGCACGCTCCCCAATGACTTACAGCTGTTCTCTTGTAGGCCCCAGGCAGCTCTCTCCTCCTCTCTGTGTATTTGCTGTTTGGAAATGGAAAGAAAGGGGATGTGTGAATTAAACCGGGTTGGGGTACGGGAACGCTGCGGGACAGGGATCGACCCTTTCTAGTGCTGCTATAACACTGAGACCCTTTTGGGAAAGTGCTTAGGTTTCTCCAGCCCATCTTCCCCAACTCAATGGGGAAGCTCATCCAGCCTGACGGCTCCTCCTCCCTAAGCAAGATGCTTCAAAGATAAATTCGAGTTATGCAAACTGTTTCAGCAGTGCCATTACCAATAAACCTCTGCTCGGTTTGTGGGACCACAGTTCTCTCGTTTAGCCTGGACCAACACCAGCCCGTCTTCTTTGAACCGTGCTCCCCACATTTTCGGAGAGGTGCAGAAAGCAGGAACCTGTGGGGAGCTGACACCAACCTCTCTGGGGGGCATTCTGGGTCCTTTTTTCCCTTAAAGACAGGTACATTTAGCAAACTCCCTCATTTGTCCAGCCAGCAAGTCCTTCCACTGAGGCTAAAAGATATTAGCTCAGCATAGCGACTTGCACAGGCTGATTGTTCAAGGCAGCAAGGGCTGTGCCAGGAGAAGAGAAGAAGTCCTGGGACCGGAGGGTAAACATGTCCCACATTTGGGATAGACACGTCCCCACGCCTCTCCTCTGTTTCATTCTCCATTATTTTGCAACCGCAAAGCACAAACCAGGATAGCTTTTGCCCTCTGCCTTTGCCGGAGAACTCCTGTGCATATGGGAATATAAAACAGTTACTGTAGCATGCAAAAGAAGGAGATAGTCTAAAAATACAGGCCTCTCCAGGGACCTGGCAAGATTGCCTGAGTGAAACATCAATGTGGCAGCCACAGAGCTCCCGGCTCTACCCAGCAGGCAACCCCCGTAGCCTCCCAGCTGCAGTCAAGCTTGCACGGTCTCCATCTGCAGCCTTCAACCACGAGGTGTATTAACAAGTAGCACCGCTGAGAAGAAGTGCATGAAACTGGGAACAGGATGGGTGCCATTGTGGAAGTATTTTATTTTATTCTGCTGAAGGAATAGAGTGGCCTATTCTCATTTAGGATAGTCCATGACCACGATGCTATGCCCGATTAGGACTTTTCCCATAAAAGGTTCGATGGGCCAAGAAGTCGTGTGCTTAACCCCTCACCTTTCGTCAGTTGGACACATGCACACATTGTGCACAAGTAACTGCCTGCACGTTCAGTATTGGGCACATAAGGCCCCTGGCGCACAGCTCCCTGATTGCTAAACTGGGGTCCCACGCACGCTTTTCAGCAGAGGTTTTTGTTGCCTATTCAAAAGGGAATGTATAAAAATCAGAAGTCAGGGTGCAATTCTTGGGTGTTTCCCAGCTGAATTCAGTAAATCTTTAACCCTATGTTCAGTGGTGATTTTAAAGTTAAACGTTAATGAAACACCTAAGAGGCTATTCCACCCACCCACCCGGGGTCCATAAACCCTTGTAAGCAATGCAGTGCTCTCTCTCCTAATAATTTCCCCACACTAACCAGACTTCAGCATCTTTACTCCTGGCAGCCTCTGAGAAAACACACACATACAACCTTTCATATGGGT